GACTATGTATTTTATTCTCCTGAAAGCTGCAAATATATAGATGTTGATCTGGGGAGAATTATGTTCCCTGCTGTTGTAATTACATTGTTCATTATTTTTCATCTAATTTTTTTTTAAAGCCAAAGGCTGTTCTTCCTAAAAAGTCAGATTTTATAAAGTGAAAGATCTAATGTTCAGTGATTATACAGTATAATACACATTACTAGAACACAGAATTGAATGTTTACAGAGGTATCTAATGATAAATTCTGACAGTTTTTACTATCAGAAACGTAACTTATTCTTTGAAGTAGAGGTAAAACAGTCAATGTGAAAAAGAGGATTGATAAATTTACTAAATATATATTGAGCACCTAAGATTTGCTGAACATTGTGCAAGGTATTAGGATTACCAATATAAAAAGCAGCCCTCAAGAAGGTTTATGTCTAGTGGCTATCAAATACTGGGTCTTTAACTAAATATTATAGTGATGCTAATTTAAATCATTCCTTTTTATTAAATATTGGAACTAATCTCAAACTCTGAATTTTTGACAGCAATCTTTTTACCAGTTTGTCTTTCTCCCTTAAATCTACTCTTGGCCCACTTCCTGACCCTTATTTCAGAACACCCATTTTGAAGTTCATCAGTCTTCTGGTTTTAATTTCCTTATTATCCAACAGGAACATACAGTAGTTGGTTACTCTAAGGATGTATTTTTTTTTACCTTCCATACACAGAGAGAAGCATAGTGATTGAGAGTTTGGGCTCCTCATCGGACTTCATAGGTGTGGATAGGAATTCTGTAATTTTTCTTGTGTATCCTTGAGCATGTTACTTTTCTTCTGACAAAGTAACAGTTGCTTGTGTCATAGCATTAAGGATTAAATGAATTGATAAATGTTAGTAGGTGCTTCCAAACAGTGTTCTGCAGTGGTTGTACCTTTTAGTCCTACAGTAGTGTATGAGCATTCCACTTTTTCTGTGAATGTAGAAGAATGCACTTTCACTTATTTTGGTCTTGTTATTTTCTCTCTCTCTATATATATGTTTTATTTTTTGGTGTAGAGGTCTTGTTCATCTTTTATTAAATTTACTCCTAGATATTTAGTAGGATTTTTGATGGTATCATAAATGCTAATGTTTTTAAATTTTATTTTTTTCTTTGTTTCTGCTATTTACAATTACTTTTTGCACATTGACCTTGTAGTCATAAAACTTGCCAAATTCCATTATTAACCCTAATGGTTTATCACAGTGCCTGAGTTTAATGAATTTTATCTCTTCCTTTCCACTCTTAATACCTTTTATTTCTTTTCTTGCTTTATTGCCAAATATTCTGTTACAGTTTAATACCTTTAGGCTCTGTGGGTACTCCCTCTTTTCTTGGTTAGTGTGTCTAAAGGTCTTTATTAGTGTGGGTCCAATTAGGAGAGAGAAAGCACACAATTATTTAAGTAGGGAAAGTTTTAATATAAAGAATTATTAACTATGACAGGATTGGAGTAATGAGAGATAAAGATAAATTGTAGTAAAGAGAACTCTGAGGAATATAGGAATAGCAGGTATAAGGAGCAGTCGCCAACTCTAGGTGTGAGACGGAAGTCCTAAGGAAGCTCCCATGCCTCCAGGACTGAGATCCAGACTATTGGAGGGGGCACAGCTGTGGGTGGCAGCTCTTGAAATCAGATCCTTCACCGTCCTCAGAGTTTGTTCTTACTACCTGTTTTGTGTTGTTGTTTGCTTGTTGAGTGCCTTTTCTAAACTGTTTTTCTTAAAGTCTGTATTCTTTGTCATGTATGGCCACCGAAGCATGTGTTCTGTTAGCTTAATGGTCAGCTGGTGTTTTGACTGATTTCCCATATACACTTGGAACTAACAAAAGAAAAGAAGAAAAAAAAAAGAAAAGAAAATACTCTTCTAGTATTTTCATATTGACTTACCCAGTCCTTTTATTAGTCTACCCTAGGTTTTACTTCCTACATTTATGGAAATACCTACCAGATGTGAAACTTAGTCTTCTTGGCTTTTTTGGAGCATGTGCCCAGCCCTTGGACATGTACATGGCTTTCTTAATTCCCTGGTATGTGGAGGAGCTTTAAAGAGCTCTTATGCTCACATTTATCTCTTCTCCCAACCTCTTCCTTTCTGTGCTTCTTGGTCTGTTTATTGTTTGTCCTAAGTGCTTCTTGCCCAACTCTTTTGGCCAATACCCATGACTTCGGACATTTTTGGCAGAAACCACTCAGGAATCCGTCCTAGCTCTGGGAATGCTCAGAGTTGAACAAAATAAAGGGAAGCCATTGCACAAGTCCTTGATGGGAGCTGCCAAACAGATTGAGACTCACAACCATAATTCTTTGAGAATAAGGTCTGTATCGCTTCCTATTAACAGGTACCAGGAGTATGGGCTACTGTTCTCAGAGCTGCTGCCTATCTGAGGTGTGAGGAATGGTAGACCAGTTGTTTAAAATGCCACAGTACTTCCTTACCACAGAGCAGCTTCTTTCTTCACCATGCCTTCCCCTTGTTGTAAGTTTTTGATTGTATTCCAGAGTTTTTAAAAATTGATTTTGACACTTTTTGCCAGCTCATTTCTTACTTTTGGCGAGGGATAGAATCTTGAGATTCTTTCCTCCTCTATTTTCAGTGATGATTTTGGTGACTAGTGGTGATGGAGCTCTTACTAGTGCTTCAGAGATATCAGGTGTCTTTTTTGTCTGCAGTGCTGTTGGCTTTTGGCTACCACACTACTGAGCTGGAGAGAGAAGGGAGATGTAAATAACCTTAAAGGTAAACATCAAAATATCACAGTCCACACTGCCTCATTGAAGTTCAGTTGTTTTTGTTCGATAGACACTTCTCAGTGGGTACTGGGTTTTGGTTAATTGCCAAAGTGTTAAAGTGGTTGATTTTAGTTGTTTAATCGTTTTACAAGTATTTTTATTGTTTTAGAGGGAGAATAAGATCACCAAGCTCCTAACTCCACCATTCTGGAAGTCATCCTCTCTTTTGGAACATACTGAAAGAGAATAGTAATGGGATATATAACGATACAATAAATTTTCAAAATTGATGATGGCATATTTCTGGAACAAAATAAACAGTGTCCAGAAACAGTCTCAAATTCATATGGGAATTCAGTGTATGATGAGTGGCATTTCAAATTGGTGGGAAAATGACATGAACTTAATGGTGAGACAACAATGTAACCATTTGTAAAAACTAAATGAACACTAAACAAATCAATAGACTGTGCACTTTCCACCCAAGTAAATTCTACTTTAAGTGAAAGGATCAAGGTAAAGGCTCAACTTTGACATGTGGTACTAGTCATAAACCCAAACAAATGGGTCAACACAAAGGCTGTAAGTCATGAAGCTGTTGCTTTGTCACATGGGTTTGGCCTGATAATTTAGCATTAGACATTCAGGAGTAGATTGAGTTATGAAGAAGGTAAGTTCTGACAGTTGAGTGTCTAAGTGGATGAACAATGACCCCCAGTTGAGCTTCCCACCTTTGCACAAAGCTGAGATGCTTTCAAGTTACCTACTTTTCCTAGAGTTGTTTTGAGGTAAAAATCCCATTTTTACTAAGAAAAATAATGTTTTGTAAAGCAAATGAACTGTGATGTTGAAAAAGGAAGTCTTATATGAGTTTATCTTACATCTATTAATGTTTTATTATTTTTTTACAAGAAAGCTTTCTCCCCAGCATTTGCCTTTCCAATGGGAACTTCTGTCTTTACTGATATGTCATATTTATATGGGCTCTTCTATATTCACCTAGAAATAGCATGGTTTGTTTCTAAAATCTTTTTTTACTTTTTAGTATAAGGAAGCTATGTGATCTCAATGGTAATAGAACTACTGAATTCTAACTTTTTAAAGGATGTGGAATTATTTTGTTAGTAATATGAAAGTTATTTTTAATTATATAGTTATGTTCTATTTTAATTATTATTTTTCTGTTTTCTTTACACTTCATCTAAGTCTCAAAGAGTTCTTTTAAAGTATATTACCAAAAAATAAAATATAAAATATATTACCTGGCTCAATTCATTAATCTCAATACTATGGAATCGTGAAGGCTTTGCTTTTTCTTCTTCCATGAACAGTGGTATATTCTGTATAGTTCACTTTAAGTAGGTGTAAACCGATGTCGTGCGTATCTTTTCATTTTGAATATTTATCTGTTTCTCAGAAAATTGATTTTAATCCTTTATACTGTGATAAAATTTTCATGGAGATGATATAGGAAAAGAGCTTAAATTTGAGTTCCTAAGCATGAAAGGAGCTTTATATCTATTACCTCATAAAATCCTCACCACCTTTTGTGAAATGCATATAATTATCCCAGTCACAGTAACTATGCAAGGTAGGAGATGTTGTTCCTATTGAACTGTTGAGACATCTGAACACTGGAAAAATAAAGCAAATTGCTCAAAGTCACATTACTTCTAATTGAGAGCCAGAAATAAAACCAAGATTTTTCTGATTCCAAAGCTTTGATCTTTTTCTTACATATTGTTTTTATTTCACAAGAGATTTAATAAATGCTTGAATAAAGGAATGGCAAAGAGATTCTGAGAGTTTTCTGTTACTGGAGCATGTCTAGGACTTTTACATATTCATGTATTTATTGATTGTTTACTATATCACAGATACTCTGTGGTGAACCTTTACTATTTTTAATTAGATACTAAGATTTTAGTTTAATTTTCATTAGTTTTAAGGTGTTACCAGCCTTTGAACTTTTAAATTATATATTTTGTTGTTGTGATGGTGGTGATGGTTCTATTTTGTTTTGCAAATCAACTCTTTGACAGAATCTGAATCTAGAACACTGAACATGTAATTTTAGGTGGAGCCAGTGTTAGCCTGATGTAGTAACTAATCACCTGAATGCTTACTTGATTAGAATTGAGCTATGTACTCTGTGAAATGAATCTACTTGGTGAATTTTTCTACGATTTGCAAGAGGAAACAATAAATCATTGTGGTTTTCTGTTCTCTTTCAGCTTTCAGAAGAATTATTAGATAAATGGCTCACCTACCCGGAGTCCCAGCATGTACCCCTTTGCCACCATATGCTTGGTTTTGCTATGAAGTCTGTTACACAGATGGTATTGGGTAGTACATTTGAAGATGATCAGGAAGTCATTCGCTTCCAGAAGAATCATGGCACAGTAAGTCTCGGGACAAATTTAAATTATTCTTTCATCAAATTAGATAGTTAAATAATGTAGATTTTATATCTCAAGAATAAGGTTTAAGATTCTATAGTATAGAATTTCCTTATTTTGGGCTAAAAACAACAGTGCAAACAAAGATAATTAGGTTTTTAAAAAATTTTAAGAATTAATTTTTGCCTGCAATTAGTTTTTGAAATTTAAAAATTAGCTAACTAAAGAAATTTTCTTTTAATACTTACCAAGTATAATAAAGTAATACTGAATTCTAGAATAAAGGGAAAAACTGTATTTAATAAAACTAGACTATGTCCTATATAGAAAGAAGTTAAGGCCCATGAGCATTAAAGTGTAATGAGATGAATATGATTTGAAGAAAGGCTAATTCACTTTAAAATTGATTTAGTGTTTGCCCTTTCTAGGTCCGCATATGGAATTGATTTTTCTCTATTTTTTTTAAAAATACTTTTTTAATTAAAGTGTAGCTGACATACAATATTATATTAGTGTTCATACAACATAGTGATTCAACGTTTATATATTTGCAGGGGTGTCCAACCTGAGGCCCGCGATGGCTATGAATGTGGCCCAACACAAAATCATAAATTTACTTAAAATGTTACGAGATTTTTTTGTTTTCATTAGTGTTTGTGTATTTAATGTGTGGCCCAAGACAACTCTTCCAGTGTGGCCCAGAGATGCCAAAAGGTTGGACACCCCTGCCAGAGTGATCACCACAATGAGTCTAGTAACCTTGTCATTGTGCAAAGTTATTATGATATTATTGACATGCTCTCTGTGCTGTACACTACATCCCTGTGGCATATTTATTTTATAATAGAAGTTAGTACCTCTTAATTTACCCTCACCTTTTTCATCCATCCTCCCACCCACTTCTCTGGCAGCCATCAGTTTGTCTTCTGTATCTATGGGTCTGTTTTGGTCTGTTTTGCTTATTTGTTTGTTTTGCTTATTTTTTAGATCCTACATGTAAGTGAAATCATGTATTTGTTTTTCTCTCTCTGACCTATTTTACTTAGCAAAATACCCTCTAGAGGTCCATTCATGTTTTGGCAAATTTGTTTTTATTACTGAGTAGTATTCCATTGTATACCTATACTACATCTTTTTTATTTATTCATCTACTGATAGACACTCAGGTTGCTTCCATACCTTAGCTATTGTAAATAATGCTACAGTGAACTTAGAAGTCCATGAAGTCCATGTATCTTTTTTTTTTTAATTTATTGATTTTAGAAAAAGAGAAAAAAGGACAAAGGGAAAGAGACAGGGAGGGAGAGAGAGACGGAGAAACATCGATTTTGTTGTTCTACTTACTTATTCTACTTATTTATTCATTCATGGTTGATTCTTGTATGTGCCCTGACTGGGGATCAAACCTGCAACCTCGGTATGTCAGGACAATGCTCTAAGCAACTGAGGTACCTGGTTAGGGCCCATATATCTTTACAAATTTTCTCATTTTCTCATTCTCTTGTTCTCTTTTTCTTCAGATAAATACAGGTTATATGGCAACTCTATTTTTTGATTTTGAGGACTCTCCATCCTGTTTTCTATAGTGGCTGCACCAATTTACAATCTTACCAACAGTGCGCAAGGGTTCCCTTTTCTCCATATCCTTGCCAACACTTTGTTATTTGTTGACTTTTTGATAATAGCCATTCTGACGGGAATGAGGTGGTATGCTGTGGTTTTGATTTACATTTTCCTGATGATTAATGATGTTGAGCATCTTTTCATATATCTGGTGGCCATCTGTATGACATTCTTCACCGAACTAGAAGAAATAGTCTCTTTTATCAATCTCAATATTAAATTAATTTATTTGGTTCAAGTTATACTTAGGTCATTTACAGCATGTTGGATATGTGAGAGATTATTCCTTATTTTTTTTCAAATCTCTAAAACTGATGAAGTAATTAAGGTAATGTGTTTAAAACAATTATTGCTAATGACACCTTGTCACTATTTAGTGTTGCACTTTTTGATTAAAATTGTTTTATTACTTGTGTTTGAAGATTAAAAAATACGCTTTTTTTTACACGAAACCTTCCAGAGCATAAGAATAGAAGTGGGAAAATTGCTCTAAATTCCACTTTCTAGATAGAGTAAACTGTGTGTACCCAGGCAAAATAAATTAGTTAAGGAATTCCTAAAATGTTTTCATATTTTAATGAAGAATGAACTTTTAACTCAGTTGTTTTTGACTGATTTTTTTTAATTGGAGCTATTATTTATTTTTCTTAAAATTTGTTTCTTTTATTGATTCTAGAGAGAGGGGAAGGGAGGGAGAAAGAGAGAGAAACATTGATGTGAGAGAGAAACATCAATCAATTGCCTCTTGCATGCACCCATTCAGGGGACTGTACCTGCAACACAGGCATGTGCCTTGACAAGGAATCAAACTTGTGACCTTTCAATTTGCAGGGCGACTCCCAGCCAACTGAGTCACACCAGCCAGGGCTGTCCGATTTTTTTCACGATGACTAGAGAGTACTTTTAAAAAGAGACCTCCGCTATTATTTCTAGGATTTTCTTCTAACCCATTCTCCATGTTTTTGTGCTGGCATAATTTCAAAGTAGAAATAATTTCAAATTTACTGAAGTTGCAGCTAGTACAAGGAACTCCAATGTGTTGTTTATCAAGGTTCATCAGTCGTTTACATTTTGCCGTATTTGTGATTGTCTCTGTCTGTCCATCTGCCTGCCTATCTATCTATCTATCTATCGATCGATCTATCTGTCTGTCTATCTCTCCCCCCCTTACTAGAACCATTTTAGTGTTGAGTAGACATTTTGCTTCTTTTTTCCTAAATACTTTAGGTTGGATTTCCTAAAGACAAGGATATTCTCTTATATAGAGAAAACATAGTTTTCAAACTTGGGAATTTAACGTTCATAGTGTACAATACTGTTATCCACTGCCCATATTCAAATTTCTTTACTTTTAGTGGTCATACCTCTTTCATGTTAAATAGTTCCTCATATTTTTCTTTGGTTCTTGACCTTGACATTTTTTAAAAATACAGGCCTATTATTTCGTTGAATGTTCCTCAGTTTGAATTTGAGCAGATTCAAATAATATATTTTTAGAAGGAAACTGGTATTTTTAAACATTACTAGAAGTTGTCAAAGGAAAGTTTTGAGACTATAAACGTGAATTGAAATCCTTCCTCAAATGATCTTTTAATGTCTGAGAGACATTAAAAGGGGTTTATGTCACAAGGAATAACAACCAATTTGTGAGTGCAGAGGTGATAACAGCTGCATCATGACTGCTCCTTAGCTGACGGCAGGTGGGAGATGTCATCAGTTGTAAGATGTATACCAATTTCATAGATGGTAAGGTGTGAAAAAATGTACACTTCACATTCGGTTGCATACTGTGTTTCTCCAAACACATTGTCCCAGTTATTTTCTTACCAACATAAGTGTGCTCTTTCTTTGCACTTTGGACATTTAGAATTATTGGTCTTTTAAATATTTGTCTACCTGATCATTCAAAAATTATATTTCATGCTTAAAATTTATAATTATTGTTTGTGAGGTTAAACATTGTTTAATATTTTTGTTGAAAACTTGTATTTCTTTTGTGGGATGACTTTTCATATACTTTGCCCATATTCCTACTGATATGTTTCTATTTCTTACTAATCTGCAAGAACTATTTGTTCTTTTCTTAGTTTTCTTTTGCTTTTACTTTTATTTATAGTGTTTTTTAAAAAGTCTTTATTTTTTAAATCATTTTTAGGTTTATAATAAAATTGAGAGGAAGGTATAGCGATTTCCCATATACCCTTTGGTTCTCCACTTGCATAGTCTCCCCCATTACCAACACCACTGACCAGAATTTTGCATTTTTTGCCACAATGAACCTATATTGACACATCATAATCACCTCAAGTTTACCTAAGGATTTATGCTCAGTGTTGTATGTGAATGGGTTTAGACATATATAATAATTACACTTATCCATTATTATGTCATGAGGAGTATTTCCATTTACTTAAAAATCCTCTGTGCTCTGCCTCTTCATCTTTCCACTCCTCTCCTGACTCCTGGCAACCACTAATCTTTTTATTGTATCCATATTTTTGCCTTTTCCAGAGTGTCCACAGTTCTGCCTTTTTTCCAGAAGGTCATATAGTTGGAATTATAGAGCATGTAGCCTTTTCAGATTGACCTGTTTCACTTAGAAATAAGCATTTAGTCTTCCTCCTTGTTTGTCATGGTTTCATAGCTCATTTCTTTTAGCCTTGAATAGTGCTCCATTGCCTGGATATACCACAGTTTATCCATTTACCTTCTAAAGGACATTTTGGTGTTTACAAGTTTTGGCACTCATGAAAAACTGCTACAAGCATGTAGCAGTTTGTGTGGACATGTTTCCAGCTCCTTTGGGTAAATACTAAAGGTTGGGATTGCTGGATTATATAGGAAGAGTATGTTTAGTTTTATAACTAACTGTTTTTGAGGATTCTATTGATATATTCTGTAGCTCAGAAATTGTTTTTAAGCTGTGACCAGTATACTGGTAAATCTAGCAAAGGGATTCTTCACTTCTGTTACAGTGTTTTTGAACTCTAGCATTTCTTTTCAGTTCTCTCTTAGGATTTCCATCTCTCTGCTTACATTGCCTTTTCTTGCATGCTGTATACTTCATCCTTTACCTGAGGCTCTTTTAGAGCCGTTAGGATATTACCTTTGGAGCCCTTAGCATAGTAATCGTAGTTATTTTAAATTCCTGCTCTAATAATTCCAACATCTCTGCCAGAACCATATGGTTCTGATGCTTCAAATTGTGGCATCACAGATATGTGACTCTATTTGTTCAAATTGTGTTTTTGCTTTTTATAATATTTTTTGGTAGCTAGACATGATGTACTGGGTAAAAGACACTGGTGTAAATAGGACTTTGGTGAGGTGTGGGGAAAAGGGAAGCATTCCATAGTTCTGTAATTAGTTCTTACTTAGTCATTTAGTGAGCCTGTTCCTCTTTGCTGTGAACTTCAGAAGTGTTTTTCAGTTCTTTCTCCCCCGTTAGGTGGAACAGGATGGCCAGAGTGGGCTGGAGTTTGGTACTCCCTTTCTCCCACGTGGAAGCTTAGATCTGACTGGAGTTGGATATTTCCTTTCCCCAGGTCAGTTAGGCTCTCGATAATACCCCAGTAGGTTAGGCAAAGTAGCTTGGTAAGAGGATAGGCCTTATGAGGATCAATGGAGTGCTCTGGCTTATTTCAGATTTGGTTCTTTATTTATTCCCCCTGCTGGGAGCCCAAGGAGGTTTCACCAGCATTTACTGGGGAACCTGGTCAAGCTTCCAGGTAAATCTCACAATATTTTGGAGGTCACCATGACTGGGTCTCCCTGGAGATTTTAACTCTGAATTGTGTTTATTAAACCTCAAGTAATTTATTAATTACAGTTCAGGTATTCCTACCTTTGCACTGGTTTCTGAGGTGGTTTCTCCTTGTTGAGTCTGTGTTGTAAGATGTGACTCCCTGTTTTCACTTGTATCTCCAATCTTGGGGGCTTCACTTTGCCCTGGATCTTCCTGTGTCTTAGGGATCCAAGAAGAGTTGTTATTTTTCAGTCTGTTCAGCTTTTTGTTGTTGGGATGGAGTAACTAGATGAATTTAACTTATTCATTATAAATTTTTGCTGTGTTTTCTGTATTATGCTTGGAAAACTCCTTTCTTACTTTAAGGGTATTCCTAATGTAAAAACTTACTATATATCCTTATAATGCTTTTAATAGTTTAATTTTTTTTACATTTAAATAATCCGTAAGGTATGTCTTTGTAAGGTTATAGTTGAGTACTCTTAACTCTAGTAGTTTTTTTAAATATTTAGCATTGATTAATAAGTGGTATATTCCCTTAAGTTCTTTAAAAACTTTTGAATTATAAAAAAGTTAATTTTTTTAGGGGCAAGTTACCTAATTTTGAAATAATTGGAATCCTGTTATATTGTTTAGTGTCTCCAAATTTTAGACTAATTTTTAACCTTTTTCTAGAACTCAGTTTTATTACTGAGTGAAGTAAATTACCGGTGAAGTAAAAGTTGGAATTCCCAGTGAATTCCCTCTGAATTTTATTTATCCACTGGTTGGTTCCATTATAATAAAAAATTGAGAATTGACTCTACTGCTATGTTCTTTTCCTCCCCATTCCTGCACCTTTTAAAGAAAAGGGACTTTTGACGTTTCAATTATAATTAGTTTGAAAGTGTCTAGACTGAAATTGTTAAAATATATTTGCTCTATTTTCAGAGACTGTGGAGTAGATGATTATTGTAGCTCATTTGAAAGGGAGAACTTAATTATCAGTTTGGTTAGTCAGATAGAAGTTTCTCAATTATTAGCTTAGATTGCTTGGTATTATTTAGAAAAACTCCTTCTTAGATACTAGGTATGCTTTCCTATTTTCAGGTTTGGTCTGAGATTGGAAAAGGCTTTCTAGATGGATCACTTGATAAAAGTACGACTCGGAAAAAACAATATGAAGATGGTAAGTTTTGCCACTCTTAATTTTTACTAAGGACAGAAAGGTATGTACTCTATTTTAACTCATGTATTTTTTTCTCTCTTTATGTTTTTTTTCATTTCTTATAATGAAAGTTCTTAAACAAAAGATGAAAAAAGCAGTGAATTAGTAAATGAAACTCTAGCAACACTGCAGAATGAGAATGCTGCAGAGTTGGTATAGGCTATAGGATTAATGGAAAGTATAAGGGTACAATACTGGGAAAGCAATTTGATGACCCATGTTAAGAGTCACAAATGATGAATGAAATTCAAGAAGAAAAATATTCCCTGAATATTTCTGTTCCTACTATTTCTGCAAATAGAAAACCAGAAACAATCTAAATGTCCAACAATATAGGAACTGCTAAGTAAATAATATCAACATGATTAAATATTTTGTAGATATTTGTAAAAAGTATAGCAACATAAAACATTCTTACCATCATACCACTGAGTAAAAATTTTCAAAGTTGTTTGGCATTGGTTACAACTTTATAAACTCTACACAGAAAAATAGCAATTTTAATTTAGGGTGGCTTCCCAATTATTCTCCCTCTTTTTATTTATTTTTCTATTTGTCAGTAATTTAATGAGTGTAATGCTTTAATACCTTTATTCTGAGCTACTGCATTTCCTTTCTTTGGAGTAGGCTTGGGTAAATTAAAATACATGAAGTACATTGGAATAATGAATTATTTCCCATATATAATAGTATTGCTTCCCAGGATTCTCTTTCTTAATTATTTCAACAAATAGTTATTGAGGCCCATATGTGTGAGGCACTCTTCTTTGTATGGAAGACAACAATCCCTGTCCTCATGGAGCTTACCATTCTAGTGATTCCCTTGATGTCCAACATAAGTCTAGAAAAGCCAATTTAATTGACACATTTCATGCTATCTGGTTTTTGTTACATTCTGATAATCATTCTGATAATCATTCTGATAATCATTCTGATTATCTTTTTTATTTTTAAGCTTTTATTTATTTATTTTTAGAGAGAGGGGAAATGAGGGAGAAAGAAAGGGAGGAAAACATTGATGTGAGAGAGAAAGATTGATCAGTTGTCTCTTGTATGCTCCCAACCAGGGACCTGGCCCGCAACCCAGGCATGTGCCCTGACTGGGAATTGCACCGGCAACCTTTTGGTTTGCAGGCCGGTGCTCAATCCCCTGAGCCACACCAGCTAGGGCCCATTTTGATTATCTTGAGATTCATTTAGAGTAATTCCCTTAATAACAAATGTATTTCACAAAAATTGGTTCAGTTAATATAAATGAAAATTGGTAATTTATAATCTTTGATTTTAAATAAAGTAGATTATAAAACAAATCAAACACAAACTGTCTTTGTGGCATCACATTCTAGTGGGAAGAGGCAGATGATGATCTAAATAAATAAACTGAATAGTATGTTAAAATATGAAAAGTGCTGTGGAGAAAATTAAATCAGGAGTGGGATACAGTTTTAAATAAGGCCTCACCAAGATTAGGTGACTTTTTGCAAATACTTCCAAGAGATAAGGCCACCATTCCATGCAGAGCATGTGGATATCCTTATGTCCAATGGATGAATATTCCATGTAGAGGAAAAGTAATTGCAAAGTCCTTGAGGTGGGATTCTCCCTGGTGTATTTGAGGTATAACAGGGTATGGCTGGAATAAAGTGAGTCAGAGAGGAATAGGAGATGGGACCAGAAAGACTGTGGAGAGGGACAGATTTTTTTCTGGTTTATAGATCACTGTATGACTAAGTTGTTACTATGAGATAGGAAGTCACTGGAAGGTTTTGAACAGAGCAATGATCTGAGTTAGGTTTTCAAAGGATCACTCTGGCTGCTGTGATAGATCGTAGGTGTCCAGAGCAGAAGTAGGAGGATTACTTATGGAGCCATTACAATGAACCAAGCAAGAGAAATAATGTGATATGGACTAGGTGATAGGCAGCAGAAAATATAGAAAAAATAGGCTAAAATAACTCTGTATTTTGAGGATAGAACCACCAACATTGGCTGACAGATTAGATGTGTGGTATAAGAGAGAATGAGACACCAAGGTTCTAGACCTGAGTAATTGGAAAATAAAGTTTTTGGGAAATAAGATGGGGCAGACCAGGAAGATCTAGCTTTGGGGAGAAAGATTAGGAGTTTAATATTGGATATGTTATGTTTAATATGCTTCAGACTTCCAAGTGGAGATGCTGAGATGGTTATAAGATATATGAGTCTGGAGTTCAGGGGAAAGAGGTCCTGGCTGAAAATAATAAATTGGGGATTGTTAACCACATAGATTGTATTCAAAGCCTTGAGACTGGTAATCACCAATCTAATGAACATAAATAGAAAAAGAGAAAGGGTCCAAACACCAACCCTTCTCTTGGAAACTCTATCATGAAAAAGTTCTAGAGAAGGGAAGGAATCAAAACAGGATACTGCAAATGAACAGGTAGTAATGTGGGAGGAAAGCATGGAATCAGGAGAGTGTGGAATCCTGGAAGCTAAATGAAAAGGTGTTTCCTGGAGAGTTAGTGATCAACATCATCAAATGCTGTGATAGGCCAAGTAAGATGGGGACCGAGAAAAGATTTTTGGGTAATTTTATTGATTGTTGGATATGTTATTTATTCTATATCTTTTAGGCTTCAGAAATTTACTTTTCTGGTTATTTCACATCTGTTTCTGTCCCTAAATGAGTGATGACTGATTTGAGAGAAGAATGAAGTTAAGAGGACAGAATTTAGAAGGAAGGTGGATAATATTAGAGGAGAGGAATACGTTTTTTGAGGCCTCTAAGGTGCTGGCATTGGTCTACTTCTTGACCTGGATGGGGATATTATATGTGTTTGCTTTACAATGGCTTCTTAGACTGTGCAAATATGTCTTATGTACTTTTTTGTACATATGCAAAAGCTAGTAAGAAAAAGGAAAAGTAGATGAGTTTAAACAAATTATTAATTAGCTTTTAAAAAAATTGTTGGTTACTGCTCTTTTACCTTTGAAAATTTTATTCTGCAGTGGTAGCATTGTACAGAAATATTTTAAAAGTTTAATCTTTATATGTGCTTATATTCTAAAATCTTTTTTGTTTTTCTACTCTAAGCCCTTATGCAACTTGAATCTATTTTGAAGAAAATCATAAAAGAACGAAAAGGAAGGAACTTCAGTCAATATATTTTCATTGACTCCTTAGTACAGGGGAACCTTAATGACCAACAGGTAAAATAATTGTTGAATATTTATCAAATAAAAGATAATCACACAGGTATAGAGTGTTTTTTAAATTAATTTAACCCAAAATTCCTCCAAAATTCAGTGGCTTTCTTTTCTTTAATGTACATTATCCATAAACAATGTAAGTATTTAGTCTTATGCTATTTAGCTCCTTGAAGCAGCTGTAAATTATTTAATATTTGGGTAAGCAAATATTGAGCCAGAATTCTCTGATCATAAAGTAAGAGGACTTCTTTAAGTCTTTATTGACTAAGCTGCTCTGCCTGTGTGAGCAGGTGTGGTAGCTTGGTTTGTTCCAGTGTGTGTGTGTTACCTCCAGCACACCATTGTATGGTGTTGTCAGGCAAAGGACAGGAGTAAAACCATTTTTGCCATACCTTTTTATACTAGGATTCCTTAGCCCCATTCCTTAGCCCCATTCGTAGACAGAAGTGGTTTCCGCGTGTGTGTGAGTGCAGAAATTGAATCAGGCTCCAAGGAAAGTGAATGGCGGGCTCTTCTCCACTGTTCCCGAGACTTCATTGCTGCACCAGGCCAAGTCAGAAAGAGAGCACTGAGCCAGTTTGTTTGCAAAAATGTATCATGAGACAGTAATATTATAGATAAATGTTTACCAAAGGAAAAAAGGCAATCTAATACTTAGGTTGGTTTTTACATTATATAGATTTTTTTAAGTGAAACAAAGAAATAATATACTTTTTCCATTTTCTTGACTCTTAATTCTATACTCTAGACTGTTTTAGTAGGGCCTGATACAGGCCACCTTGCATTTCATACTTTCTAAACTTAGTTTTGTTTTCTAGATCCTAGAAGACAGTATGATATTTTCTCTGGCCAGTTGTGTAATAACTGCAAAATGTAAGTATAACTTGATTCCTTCTTGAGATAGAGTATAAACTATACTAAGGTAAAGCTATTCTGAAATAAAGAAAACACAGTTTGTAAGAACTCTATAATTTCTGTTCCCTCTCTTTTTTATTCTTGTTTGAAAGGCTTGATTCACACAAGTACTTTTTTTTAAAAAAAACAAAACAAACCCCAGGTGTTCTATGCCACTTCTGAACATTGCCATAAAATTTTTGACACAGTTTATGGATTGTGAATTCTAGTTAGTGCTTTTTAAAATGAACTGCTGTTGACATTTCTAACCATGCAGTGAGCTTTTCAATTTCTTGCTGAGGCATTTCACTTTGACTCCAATTTGGTCTGCTATTATTAAGGTCTACCAACAGAAGAGATAGGCCACAGAGACCATGATTTAAAAGAACTCTTTTGTTGGTATTGAAAGTGATTTTTATTTAAAAATTTAAAATGTGCGTTATGTTTCTTAGTTTCCTCACTGGTTTTTAGTTGAGCAGAGTTACCATTCATTCACATAGTATTTACAAAAATTTATGTATATCTATAAAAATATGCTAACATAAAATGCTAAAGGAAGTATTAAAACATAAGTTTAAAACTTAAAAAAAATTACGTTCACTTGAAGGATTTTATTTACAATTCTTTCTGTTGAAGTTTTCTTAAAAATGATGACTACAAATGTAAAATTTCCATAAATTTTTCTCATAGAATATTTGACACAGATGTCCAGATATTATAAATTAAATGGAATTTCAGTAAGCGTGTGTCAAATATAATGTATAGAGCTTTTATTTAAAAATGCTTAACTTGTTTTAAAATTTTATTACATTAAAATGTATTCTTGCTGAAGACCTTAAAAAAACCTGAACCAGTTTTGTTCTAAATAACACAAAAGGTAACTGTTTTCAAAGTTGAGTTAATATTTTAATCTTATTTGCTGTTTTTAGGGGGAATTATTAGAGTATTATTATTTCTTTGCATGTGGGTTGGTTATTTTTTGTCATCTCTGAAGTTTTTGAGAGGCAGAATAGGCAGGAAACCTTAATTAAAGTTCCTCCTCCACTGCCTGTTAGCCTTGGACAAGGTACTTACCTCTGCACTTTCTCGTTTTCTAAAATAAGGATTAGCTGTAGATGACCTCCATGGTATCTTCCAACTATAAAATTGTGTCTTGGTTTAGTAGTGTAATTAAAGAATGTTCAGTGGCTTAAAATAACATTTTAAAGCTATCCCCAGTCATACTTTATTTTTAATAGAGTTCTACAAAAGAACCAATGTTTGAGATTATTACGCTTATAGTTATATTAATTTTCAGTGATCATTTGGTCAAGCAGGGTATACAAGTGCCTACTGTACTGAAATCTTTGTGCTCCTTCTTTCACTGTAGTATTCTATACATTACATACATTCTGTATTAGTTTTCATGTCACTTGTTTTTTTCTTTTTTAAACCATTTTTCTTTTTCAATTAAAGTTGAAATACCTTATTGTATCAGTTTCAGGTGTACATCCCAGTGATTAGACATTATGCAACTTAATAAGTGATTGTTTAAATAAATCTCACATCCATCTGATACCATACATAGTTATTAGAATATTATTGACTATATTTCCTATGTGGTACTTTACATCCCTATGACTATTCTGTAACAACCAATTTGTGCTTCTTAATCCCTTCTACTGTTTTATCCATCCTCCAACCCCTCTTCCTTCCAGCAATCATCAAAATGTTCTCAATCTGTGAGTCTGTTTCTATTTGTGTATTTAAGAAAAATTCTTCAGTTCACTCAAAAGCCATCATAAAGAAACATGTAGGAAAAAGCTAAGGACAGGCAGTTAGTCCTCATGCACTGTTTTTGAACTCTAGATGTCAGTAAGTTATCAAAATAATTGAGAACCAAGAAGCTATTGATTTAATAATAATATTTAGTGCAGAAAGTGAATTATATCTTTATGAATATGATAATATGTGAGTTAGGCAAATATTTAAAAAATTTAATTTTGAGACAGATTTATGTCAACCTTATTAGCTCAGGAAAGAGATAATAAGTTGAGGTAGAAATTAGTAAATGTATTTTTAAAAGTAGTTGTCATAGAAAAAGTAGAGCTGCAGATAGTCATCTTAAGCATAATCTAGGGAAAGAGGTACTGTGCTCCCATGTGTATTGCGCACACATGTTTTTGGCCCAGACTTTCAGGAAAATATCTTAACATTTTAATGTTTTTTAAAAAGATTTTTTAAAATTTATTTTTAGAGAGAGGGGAAGGGAGGGAGACAAACATCAGTGTGTGGTTGACTTTCGCATGCCCCCTACTGGGGACCTGGCTTGCAACCCAGGCATGTGCCCTGACTGGGAATCGAACCTGAGATTCTTTGGTCTGCAGGCTAGGACTCAATCCACTGAGCCACACCAGCTAGAGCTCATTTTAACTTTTTAATTCTAAATCAATGATCATCTTCCAGGGTATTATTTTGCATACAGATATTGTTATTGCTTTCTAGAGTTACACTTTTAATGCATAAGCATAAATAAAAGAATTAAAAACATTTATATTGATATGGAATTAGTACTACCCATGTATAATGTGCATCCTTATTTCCCTAAAAAATTTGGGCAAAAAAGTGTGCATTATACATGGCAAAATATGGTATATATGTAGATGATTTAATTCTTTGAATAGTTGTAATCCCAGTGGATTACTAAAAGAAATATAACTACTCTATTTTCTCTGTTTTATGCTCATCATGTAATTTTCCTCCCTTTTCATTTCTACAGTGAATATAATCCATAAGCAGTTTTAACTGAAAGTAAACCATAAGCTGGTGACTTTCCAATTTTGGTATTCACCAGAATTATTGTGGTATTTATTATAAGTACAGATGCTTGGGTCCTACTCTAAACCTAATAAATTAGAATCTCTGGATGTGAGGTTGTTCCATCAACCAACTTTCAGGTGATTTTTGAGAACCACTCCTAAGCAATAATGAGTTCCGGTCATTAAGCCAGTGTATCTACCATTATAAGTAAAAACTTAAAATATTGATTTGCAGATAAATCTCCTGCTGCTTTGATTTGTATGAATCATTTCATTAGGGCTCCTGAGTGAACTGATAAATCAGTTTTTGATTTTACAAGGTTGAGTGAACCAGACAATCCATCAAAGTTATCAACGTTTAACGTTCCCCGAGATGTGAAATTTATTTATTATCATTACTATTTTACCCAGGTATAATGCATTAAGTGGCTTCAGTTACTTGCCAGTTTAGGAAAGAAACCTTCCAGCCCTGGTCAGGTGGCTCTGTTGGTTGGATTGTTATCCTGTATACCAAAAGGTTGCAGGTTCGATCCCCGGTCAGGGCACATACTTAGGTTGTGGGTCAATCCCTGGTCAGGACATGTATGGAAGGCAACTGATCAATGCGTCTCTCTCCCATCAATGTTTCTCTCTCCCTTTCCCTCTAAAAAATATAAACATATCCTCATGTGAGGATTAAGAAAGAGAGAGAGGAAAGGAGGGAGGGATAGAGAAACAAAGGAAAGAAGGAATCTTTCAGATTGCACTCTCTCTTTTGGGGGCTATTCTGTAAATATTTTTGTCCTCTTCAATGAAATATAAATCCTGTGAACAACTTTGTTTTATTTATTTGTTTTTGGTAGCGTTTATCTTTTGTATCAGAAAAAAAGGGAAGATAACAAAAAATGTTTTTTTCTTACTCTGTGCCCAAACTATCAGTTAGCTATTTTCATTGTTATTAATATAAATTTTCACTTAGTGTGCACCTGGGCAATCTGTTTTTTAACCACCTCTGAAGAAGTGCAGAAAAAACTATATGAAGAGATAGACCAAGTTTTTGGGAAGGGTCCTGTTACCCCAGAGAAAATTGAGCAGCTCAGGTAAGAATACAAGAAAAGGAAGAGGAAATCATTAAAAGGTAAATGTGAACTGGTTTGACTATCTAACTTAAAGATAATGTTAATTTCTGAGAAAACTATGCATCTATATAGGACTTAAAATATTTACATAAAATTTTAATAGGTAATTTACTTTTAAAAACTGTATGGTAGTTTTACAGAAGCTTTATATTAACCTGTATAAAACAGTGTCAGTGTTGTCATGAAAGTGGAACATTCATACCTTGTTGGTGGGTATGGAAAATAGTAAGTACAGTCCTATAGGAAAACAGTGTGGCAGGAACTTATAAAGTTAAATATACACTTACCATATATGACCCAGCAATTCTATACCTAGACATTCACCCAAGAGAAATAAAAATAAATGTCCACACAAACCTGTATGCACATGTTCATAGCAATATTATTTGTAGTAGCAAAAAACTAGAAGCAGTCCAGGTGTTTATCAACTGGTGAATAAACAAATTGTGTTGTATCAGTACCATGGAATATTACCAAGTAATAAAAAGTAACGGTCATTGAAAAGGAAGTCTAGGACCTGGCCAGGAAGCTCAGTTAATTTGAGGAGGGGTCTCCAACTCCTGGGCCGTGAGCGAAGCTTGCCTGGGTGAGCCAGCGAAGCTCACCTGAGTGGGGCCTCCTGTCTCCCCCAACCCCCTACCCCTGTCTTCATGAGACTAGTCCCTGGTGCCAAAAAGGTTGAGGTCTGCTGGGTTAGAGCATTGTCCCGATATGCCAAAGGTTGAGGGTTCAGTTCCTGGTCAGGGCACATACAAGAATCAACCAATGAATGCATAAGTAAGTGGAACAATAAATCAGTGGTTTTTTCTCTATCTCCCTAAAATAATAATTAAAAAAGGGAAGTCTAAACGTTTTCACTTGTGAAACATCTAATTATTAAAGCAGAGAAATTGATTGTTGGGATACTTGACTGTTTTAGACTGATGGGAGGACTGGATAAAATATAAGCTAGTGTTGCCTTTTCATGTTCGCATTTGTGTGAGAAGTGGATTTCATCAGATTAAGAGCAGCCTTACAGATACTATATCAGAAGCATATACCTTGAATAAGCTTTGTCCTTCCGAGGATACAACTTTGAAGTTAACCAAACCTCCCACTTATCACTGATGGGAAGTCTTGGACATCGAGATGGTCACTGTCTTGGGCTGGCCCCTGCAGATAATTCTCACCCTCTGCACAAGTCATTGACTGCATTTCTTTAGTGGGTTTTATTACTATGAAGAAAAACTTATTTCTATGTTTTGACATTAAAAATTATAAGTGGCCAGAGGGGATGGGGGAAAAGAGGACAATGGTGGAAAGAAAGTGTAGGGACTAGACAAAGAATGTGTATGAATGACCCATGGACATGGACAACAGAGTGGGAATTGACTGTGGGAGAAGGGGGTGGGGGTGGGATGGGTGGAGGGGGGTAAAGGGGGGAAAAACTGAGACAACTGTAATAGAATAAACATGATTTATAAATAAAAAAATAAAAGGAAAAATAAAATAAAATAAAATGTTATGCTATAAAAAAAAAATTTATTAGAAGAACCCTGGCTGTGTAGCTCAGTTGGTTAGAACGTCATCCAGATACACCAACGTTGCTGGTTTGATCCCCAGTCAGGGCACAAACAAGCAGCAACCGATGAATGTATAAATAAGTGAAACAACAATCAATGTTTCTCTCTTTACCACCTCTTCCCCTCTCTCTCTAAAATCAATAAATTAAAAAAAATTAAAAAGTAAAAGTAAAAAAAATTGTTTAAAAGAACTTAACAAAACCAAAGCCACAACAAAAAAACCCTGGTGTGTTGTTATTCTGTCATTTTTATGCTTTGGACTGGTTTTATTATTTTTGGAAGTATTATAAGACTTCTGCTAAACTTGTTGAATGTTAAGGAGAAAACAAACTTGGCAAATGTGGAAAACCAGTTACAGAAAATATCTCTGCTAGAGCTCAAGAAACATTAGGGAAAGCACAGAGAAACTTGTCCTCCCTGGTTCTCTAACTGCTGAAAATGTAGATGGAGGACTTGCCTTGAAGATATGTGTGACTTACATTGTTGTCTTTATTTTTGTATTTATAGACAAAAGACCATAAAATAATGTTTCTCAGTTAAATCTACTTAAAATGTAGTTGAGTACAACATACCATTTCTTTTCTTAACTGATGTAAGAAAAGTAATATTTTAAAATAAAAAATAAAGTATTATCAATACACATAACAACATGGAAAATCTCATGCTAAGAGAAGTCAGACACAAAGACTGCCTACAATATAATTTCATTGAGGTGAAATTATAGAAAAGGCAAAACTGACGTGATAGAAAGCAGTGCTTGTCTGGGACAAGGAATGCGGAGGAGATCAACTGCAAAGGGGCAAGAGTAAAGGTTTGGGATGAGGGTGCTGTTCTTATTCTGTGTCTTGCTTGTAGTGGTTATACAATTGTATGCAATTACTAAAATTTATCAAAATATACAGCTAAAATAAATGATATTTTTTAGATTCACATATGTGAAATGAGAAACTAATATATATCAACTAATAGAAAAATAAAAAAAAATTTGAAATATAGATTAATTTTTATATGTAAATTTATATATGTAATAATCTAAAAGACTATTAAGAAATAGCAGCTGTGACTACTTAGCAGATTGGAGTCTGAGACAGTGTAACAAGCAACCCTAATTTGGAGCATCTTTCAACTATGGAAATGAAGATAGGGATATACCCATTGGAAAAACTTGAAGCCATGGGTTCAAGCAACAGGGAGGCTTCTGTTGCAGATTCTTCAAATGTTGGAAGTTTTATTACATTGATATAACTACCTTTAATTTTAAAAGTAATACATAGTTGTCTTTTGAAATTTTTATAATACGGAAGTATATGAAGTAGAAGGTATAGAAGTTACATTATTTGTTCTTTTTAAAAACATTTTTTTTAATCCACACCCAAGAATGTGTTTATTGATTTTAGAGAGAGAGGAAGGGAAAGAGAGAAACATCAGTGTGAGAAAGAGACATCAATCAGTAGCCTCCTGTAAATGCCCTGACCAGGGATTGATCCCACAACCTTTGGTGTACATGACAATGTTCCAACCAAGTGAGCCACCCAGCCAGGGCAGAAGGTACATTATTTGTACGTGTTCCCTTAGGGATAAAAATTGTTAACTATTTTACTACTTTTCCAGATTTTTCTGTGCATGTATACATATATATTTAAAACAAAAAAAATTTAAAAACATTAAAAAATAATTATGTAACATTAATTCCTGTAAATTCCATTTTTTCTCGAAATATTTTTTGGACAGTATGCTTATATGTAGTAACTCCACCACAACCAGTCAGTGATCTAGTTCTGTTTATTCTACTTTCTAAACAACTTTTAGTTGAAAGTTTAGTTTTAGTTCTTTCCATTGTGCCCATTTTATCCAGACCACAATCAACTTGCCTGGGATATTTCAACAGCCTTGGATCTTGTTCCCCTCCAATCCATTCTCCAAACTGCTACTGGAGCCTGTGACTGCACACTGTAGTCACTTCAGGTGCTTTAAAAATACAGATAACCTGGGAGCAATCTCAAACCAACAATTTCTAGCATCAAAGGTTTTCAAAGGCTTCTTGAATGACTCTAATGTGTAGCTAAAGATGAGAGTCGCTGTGCTGGAGTAATCTTTATGTATCTGGGAGTCACATCTGATCAGATGACTTCCCAATTTAAAATCCTTCAGTGACTTCTGGTTGCCATTAAGATAAAAGTTAAACTCACTAACATAGCTTATGGGGCATTTCAATAGCTAAGCTTTGCATTCCTCTCCTACTTTATCTCTTATTACTCTTGCCTGTTCATACACTTGAATTCAGCTATACTGAAATTTTTTTGTTTCTTCAAAGGTACAATGCTCTTTTATATCTTCTAGCTTTTGCAGACTATTTCTTTGTCTAGATTCTCTTTTCCTCTCGGTTTTTTTTCTGCAGGTCATAGTCTCAATGTTTATTTTTCTGCATAGTTCTTTATTTAGTTGGGTGGTCCTTCCATGTGCTCTCTACTAGTTCCCTGAACTTTATCATAAGAGTATACTGTGTTTTGGTAATTGTTCATTCTTGATGTCCCTGCTTTTCTCCCTTCCTCTGTCATCTAGGCTTTGACTTCTTTGAGGGTATCTGTTTTGTTCATTGCTGTAGCTGAGTATGTAATGCAGTGCTTCTAATGTAGTACATACCCAATAAATATTTGTTCAGTGGGGAAAGGAAGGATGTTTCCTCTTTGGTTCCTGTTGTTTTTAGATATAAACAATCAGCATTCTTATGCTTACATCTTTGCTAATATTTCTGCCGTATTTTGCTGTGTATAATGCATACTTTTTTGCCCAAATTTCTGAGGGAAAAATAAGGATGCACATTATACATGGATGTTATTACATACTGTGGGTATAATAATCCTGTGTATAATGTGCATAAAACATGGGTGCATATTATTCATGGGTGTGCATTATACACAGCAAAATATGGTAATGTTCTATTAATAAATAATGAGATTGTTATTTAAGGATATATGCAATAGTATAGTGCTTCATTTTTTAAAGCTGTAAAATTAAAATAAGATCTATGAGGTTCTTTTAAGGATTAAAAAAGATACTGCATAGAAACTAAGAGAACTGGCTCATGGCAAGATTTCAATACATTTTAGTTTTATTCTTCTCTAGGTGATACACACTTAATATTCTTATACTGTAAATTGCCAAATTACCCTCCAGAAAGGTTATACGAATTTATATTTCTATCAATCAACTATGAATGTCTTTTTCCCAAATTTTTATTAATAATGTCTCTTGTCATTCTTTTTCATGTTTGTTAACCTGGAAGTAAAAACTGCTTTGACTGGCAATCTTTCAATTGTTAGTGAGGCTGAATATCCATTTCATATGTTTGCAGGCCACATTTATTTATTTTCTTAATTGCTTTTTTATATTCTCTGTCCATATATCTATGGGGGTGTTGGATTATTTTAATTGTGGATTTTCAAAGAGCTTTGCTACATTAAAGATATATTTACTATAAATATTTTTCCTAGTTTTTAAAATTTTATATATGATTGCAAATATATTTTTAAAAATCCATAATCAGGTTATTTGTATTTTTCTTTGTTTTCTATCATTGTGTCAATATTTATATAATTTTTGATTAGAAGAGTCCTTTATTAAATTTTTATTACATTCCATATTAAAAATAAAGGAATTTTCTATTTAAAAATTATAAAAATGTTTTGAGTTTTCTTCTGGTACTTTTAAAGATGTTTTTATTTGTTTAAATATTTACCCACCTGGATTTTATATACTTCTAATATATAACATATCTTCAAACAAGAAAGAATTATCATGTGACTATTTCAAATTAAGAAGGTTATGAAAGTTGTTGAATGATATTTTGTAAAGTATGTACCTTTCAAACTGCTTCTCCCAAAGTAAAGATCTCAAAGAACATTTCTTTTAAACAGATACTGTCGGCGGGTGCTTTGTGAAACTGTTCGAACTGCCAAACTGACCCCAGTTTCTGCCCAGCTTCAAGATATTGAAGGAAAGATCGACAAATTCATTATTCCTAGAGAGGTAGGAAACATTTAATATGTCTGTCCAGAAGGTATCTAGCCATGTAATATGAAAAATAGAGACATTTATTGAATGAGATACAAGATACAAGAAACACTATACATAGGACAATGATGCCTCAGTCCCCTTCAAAGTAAAGGCACCTTGGGACCTCACACAGTTCTCCCAGTCACCATCAGCTGGCCTTTTGTATTTTCCTGAATCTCATCGATGCTCTGAAATTTCTTCCCTTTCAAAGGTGATTCTAGTTTTGGGAAAAGCCAGGCGTCACAGGGTGCCAGATCTTGGCTTTAGTGGGAATGAGTCACCTGGGTGATTTGATGTTTTGCTAAAAAACTCTGCATGAGACATGGTACATGAGCGGGCTTCTTTTCATGATGAAGCTCCTAATCACCAGTTGCGCACAGTTGTGGCCTTCTGAATCATCTGAATAGTTTCTCCAGAGGAATCTTCAAGCTTAATGCAAATTTGATGCAGATTCTTTGCTCTGTTCACTCAGTTGTTTTGAATGCGATGGCCGCACAGTACAGTTCACTCAACGGCATCTGCTGCCTCCACTTCCTAGTACAGTGCAGTCATGATTGTTCACACATGTGCATTTCAGTCTACTTTCCTTTGCTGCCAGGTCACTTCGCTGGCATGCAAATCGTTCCTGTTATTGTATTTTGCCATGTATAATGTGCATCCATGTTTTTGGCCCAAACTTTCAGGGAAAAAATCTTTTAATTTTTTAATTCAATTATGTATTTATTTATATTTAGAAACAAAACCAACTATCATATTCCAGGGTATTATTTTGCATATGGATATCATTATTACTCTTTATGCATAAGCATAAATAAAAGAATTAAAAACATTTATATAGATACAGAATTAGTACTACCTATGTGTAATGTGCATCCTTATTTTTGCCTCAGAAATTTGGGCAAAAAAGTGTATTATACATGGCAAAATATGATATATTAACAATGGATGGATTTTTTTCTGGACATACCTCTTATGCTTGTTTTAATGTTCAACGTAAGAAAAAGCTCCCTTCCTTATGGGTACTGCTGTTAATAGTTTATGTGGCTCTGGCTGCTGTGGCTCAGTGGATTGAATGCCAGCCTGTGAATCAAAATGTCACAGGTTCGATTCCTGGTCAGGACACGTGCCTGGGTTGCCAGCCAAATCCCCAGTTGGGGACGAGGGAGAGGCAACCAATCTCTCACACATCAATGTTTCCCTTTCTCTCTCCCTCCCTTCCCATCTCTCTAAAATAAATAAATAAAACCTTAAAAGATAGTTTGGTGTGTATTTTTATAGATCTTTTTCTTTGTATGTATATTACTTTTTGTGTGTATGTATATGTATTTTAAAAACTGAATTTTTAGGTGAAAGTTTACTCTTTATATATTGTTCTTTAATTTTCTTCTTTTATTGATTGTATCATGGCTACTAGTACAACTGGAACTTGATACAGATTCAGCTCATTATTTTTAATGGATGCATAGTATTCCATTGGTGGCAGTGGTGAGAATGGTACCTGGTGTTAGACTGGTGGGGTCAGACCAGACCTTGGTTGAGCAACCTCAGTACTTGAGTTCTGGCTAGGAAAGAATTTAGAGCCAAGGCTCAAGCTATAAGAATTTATTTAGAAAGTTACATAGGTAAAAGTGATTCATAGAAAGTTCCAGAGGCAAAAGAAGGGTCCTTGGAGCTTAGGAGAGGGGAAGGTAAAGGTAATGTACCTGGGGGTGTAAGGGGGGGGTGGGGAAAGGCTTGTGGGTTCTCCTGGGAGGAAGAGCGGGTTGGATCCTCCTCTGAAGGGCTTTTAAGGGTGGGGATTTTAGGGGAGGTACCAGCTTTCCAGATATGTCCTTTCAGGGTTGTGGTTTCCACTGATTGGTTGTTAGCAGGGCAGGGGGTCATCTAGTCAATGCAGCTGGTCCTGAGGTCAGTTGCGGAGTCACTTGTCTGGTTTTGCTGCTTTTTTGGGTCCTGGAGCTGTAACACACCTGAGACCTAGATGTATTTGCTGCGGGTCAGAACCCCCTTGTTCTGAGGCTTCTCCAGCGCTCTTGTTCTCCCTCTAAAGGAGTCTAACCTGCGTAACTAGCAACATGTCAGGGGAGAAGAGGTCAGGGGAGGGTCCAAGCCTCATAACAAGAGGTATGATAGGGGAGGAAAGGTCAGTTTAAGGGCACCTAGGGCTTTCTACCCTTGTGTACCTGGGCCATCCTTCTTGCTCTGCTGATGTTTAACTGCTTATCACATGTGAACCATAATTTATTTAGGCAGTCCTCATAAATGGAAATTAGATTGGTATTTTTATTACAAATTATATACTTATACTAGTATTAGAGCCTTAGAAATGGAGTTTTTAGGTCAAAGTGCATAGTATGTTAAATTTAAATTGTCATCTAAAAGGCATTTTTTAAATTTTTATCAACAATGTACGAGAAAGCCTTTTCTCTCCATATCCTCACCACCTCTGGCTTTATGAATCTTACATATTTTGTGAATTTTATATAAAATTGTCTTAAGATTTTAATTTGTTATTCCCTAATCGTTGGAGAGATTGAGCATCTATATACAAATATATATATATTTAAATATATAAATACTTTGTATTCCTTCTTTGGTGAATTATCTGCTTGTTACTCACTATTCTTTCTAGTGAACTTCTATGTCTTTTTATATATTACACATACTGTCAGTTATATGGCAAATATTTTTTTGTGGTATTATTTACTCTTACTGGTGTTTATGGAATGTTTTGTTTTTTTTTGACTGGATGCAGTTTTTTAAATTTTTATATAGTTTAGTCTGCTATTATTTATGGCTCTTGTGACATGCTTATGGATGCCTTCCCCCTATAAGTTTACCAAAATAATGGTTTCTGTTTTCTTTTATTATTTTATATTTTTAGTTTGTATTTATTATCTATATTAAAAGAACTTTTAGGATGAGTTGGCTTTTTGGGAGTCATTTTGTTTCTCTTAGGCCTTCACTAACTAGAGTATTTTTTTTCTTTTTGCAGACCCTTGTTCTTTATGCTCTTGGTGTGGTACTTCAGGATCCCAGTACTTGGCCATCACCATATAAGTATGAAATATCTGTCACTGTCATTGTGATTATTGATTTTTATGTGTTTTATGTTTTGCATTCCTTTTCTAAGTTTTGAGGAGAAAATTTAATATGTGACAATAACACATTTGTATCTTCCCTTTATATCTCCTCCTCACTACTTTTCTTTCATAAATCTGCTCTCTGCTACTCTTACCTTCTCCTATTACTGCTTCTGTCCTAAGATCTATTTAATTACCTGATCTCTACAACTACTTTTTAATTTCAATGGAATTCTGGAATTCTTTTCATTTTTTTAAGTGGGTATTGCTTATGCAGTTTCTTTGTTTTCCTACTATTGGTTTCAATTAGTAAGTACTTTAATCAAGTTCAGAAAATAGGTTTTGTGTATATAACTGTTGTGTGAGAATAGCAAGGAGGGAAAAATTGAAGAAAACAGCTGCTTTTGTTTGCTTCCTAGGTAAGCATCAGGTAAAATCTTAGGGAAACGGATTAAGATGCACTGCCCTGGAAGAAGGTTATGTATTGAGTTGATTAAGGATAAAGCGGCTCTGTGAAAAGCGGGGGTTGGGGGGGGGCGGGGGGGGCAGGGTTGGTGGCATGGTTGAATTACTAGAAACCTACTTTTGGAGGATAAGGATGAGACATATTATGTGTGCCTGTCATTTTAGTTATTAATATTATAATGATATTAAAGGAAGTCTGTTAATAAATGAAATAGCTTTTCAAAATATGCTATTAAGTAAAAATTGACTAAATTTATATTCTAAGTGGCTTTTATAGCAAAATTAAAGATATGCATTTGTGGATCAGAAAATCTAGGTTGCAAATTAAAAAATCCAAAAAGAATATATGTTAACATGTGGAAATCATTTTTAGGAATCAAATGTAATCAGATTTAGAGAGTGTTAGTAATCATGTTGTATGATAAGGAAAAGCTTACCGAAGTTAGGCATCTCCTTACCCATCCCTTTGAGAAGGTCTAGAGATTCATTCTTTTTTTTAAAGATTTTACTTATTTATTTTTAGAGAGGGGAAAGGAGGAAGAGATGGAGAGAAACATTAATGTGTGGTTGCCTCTTGAGTGCCCCCTACTGGGGCCCTGGCCCACAACCCACGCATGTGCCCTGACTGGGAATTGAACTAGTGACCCTTTGGTTCACAGGCTGGTGCTCAATATACTGAGCCACAACAGGAAGGGCTAGAGATTCATTCTTATCAGCACTTTGAGATGATACTAAGGGGCAATTCACACAGAAAAACGTTCATAGGACTGAGATAGATCTTGTGGAGACAACTAATTACAGTTTAAAATATATTTGTCACACAGAGGATAATGAAGAGATTGACTTTTTTACTAAATAATGCTCTTGAGGTCAATGTGTATGTTGCGTATCTTTTTATGGTTGAGTAGTATTGTCTTGTATTGATATATCAGAGTTTGTTCAATCTTTTACCCACTGAAGGATACGTGGGTTGTTTCTAGGATTTTGCTATTATGAATGAAATTTTTATAATGTTCGTATGCAGATTTTGTGTGAACACAGGGTTTCATTTCTTTGGGGAAAATGCCCAAGAGTACGATTGCTGGGTTATGTGGTTAGTGCATGTTTTGTTTTGCTGGAGACTGCTAGGCTATTTTTCAGACATTCTCACCAGTTATGTTTGAGAGATTCAATTACTCTGCAGCCTCAGTAGTATTAACTATTATCACTATTTTTAAAAGTTTTATTTCCTATATGTATGTGGTGATATATTATTGTGGTTTTTATAAGTTTTATTTTGAGTGAATAACTGACATTAACTTACTTTCCCTATATAAATATGTCTAGATATGATTTATTTACAAAAATGCGCAGAAGTGTGTTTTTACTGTTACAATATTGACATTATTTCAGAGCAAGAAACCTTGGGTCAAATTCTATGATTTAAATGGACAATAATGTAAATATTACTCTATACCAAATGATGAAATATTATCAACTTTAAAAAGCCAAACTAAAATAAAATTCTCAACTGAAAAGAATGAAGGCAAACATCAAAAACCTCAATATAGACTAGGACGAGGTGGTGACATAGCAGCTTCCTGAATATCTGTCTTCCCACAGACACTGAATGTATGGCTATGCACAAGCAGTTCTTCCTAGAGAAATCCAGAAAGTAGCTGAGTGACTTCTACACAGTTGGCAAATGATAAAATACCTGCATTGAAACAAATAGGAAAGGCTAAGGCATGTTCTTGCCATAAATCCCACCCCACCCTAGCACAGTGCCATACGATTAGGAGGAAACCCCCAATTCCTAGCTTTTCCCTGAGTAGAAGGATTTGGACTGTACATTTAGTGCCCCAGCTTTGAAGACCCTCACCTGTGAGAGATGTGCTCCCAAAACCTGGCTCTGAAAGCCATGGGGGTTTGTGTTTGAGTCCCACAGGACTGTAGCAAATGGAGCAGCAGTTCTTAATGAAACCACAATGGGAGCCCAAGCACTTACTCTGCTGTCCCCCATGGTTCAGAGCAGAGGGAAAAGGCGAAACATCCATCTCCCAGTCTTTCTTTCCATGGAAGAAGGCTGACTGCATACTTTACAAACTGCTTACTGTGAGTCCAGCTTCTAACCAGCACACATCTAATTACTGGCTCTGATCCTCCCCTGAGCTTGAAGGAGCCAGTGGGCAGCTTCTTCCTCTGGCCCATTCCAACAGTAAAACTGAGTTGCCAGCATCTCCTTTGTGTGCACATCTTGTTCCCAAACTTCTACAGCTGCTATCTGAGGGTCATGCTTCAAATCACCTCGCTCTGATAGCCGTTGGGACTTGTGTTCATGAATCCTACAGGACTGTAGTAAACAAAGAAGCAGTGTTAACAGGCATGCAGGTACTTGCTGTGTCTTGCCCCCAAGGTTCATGCAGAGGGAACAGGTGAAAATGGCCATCTCCCCTCTTTCTCTGGAAGGGATTAGACTGCATACCTTACAAGCTGCTGGCTGAGGGTCTGTCCTTTAATTACCATACATCGAGGTGGTAACTATGATCTTCCCCCATGCTTGAAAGAGCTGGTGGGCACTTCTGCTGCCTTCTAGCTCCAACAATAAAGCCAACCTGCCAGTATCTCCCAGGAAGGAGCTTGTCCACACACCTAGCAGTCCAGCTTTTAAGGAGAGGCCTCCATTACTAGCTATGTTAGCCCATGGGACTTGGCATTCACAAGTCCCAGAAGACTATAGCAAACAAAGAAACCATTTTTAAATGGGTACAGGAGCGTCCCCATGGCTATACCCCTGGGTTCCACGCAGAAAACATACACAAATTCCAGTCTCTCAGTTTCTCCTTGGAAGAAATTTGACTACATACTTTTTCAGCTGCTGCCTGACAGTCCAGAATCAGTCAGCATCTAGGGGCTGACAGTGACCCTCTCCTTTTAGACACAGACGGGTCTTGGCATACCCTCAACTACTGGAAGCCACTACAATTGAAGACAGCAACTTCAATAATCACAAAAGTTTGAAAGGAAATCAAGAACTCAGGCTGGGCTAATTAATTAGAGTTATCTCCTACGCAAGACTTCTGTCAAGACTGGAAGAGGTGTCTCTTTTATCTAATGTGAAGAAACCAACGCAGAAAGCCATGGAAAATGAAGAAACAAGGGAATGTGTTCCAAACAAACGAGCAAGATAAATACTCAGATACTGATCTTAAGGAAATGGATATAAGTAATATACACAGTAGAGAATTCAATATAATAATCAAAATGATGCTCACAGAGGTCAGGAGAAAAACTGTGAACAAAGTGAGAATTTCAACAATGAGATAGAAAATATTAAAAAATACCAAACTGTTTGCATTTCTCTGATGATTAGTGGTGTTGAGCATCTTTTGATATGTCTATTGGCCATCTGTATGTCTTCTTTGGAGAAATGTCTATTCAGGTCCACTGACCATTTCTTAAATTGGATTGTTTATTTTTTGTGTTATGTTGTATGAGTTCTTTATAAGTATTTATTTAAAAAAGTGTTATGTAATGTCCTTCTTTGTCTCTTTTTATGGCCTTTGTTTTGAAATCTATTTTGTCTTGAAATAAGTGTTGTTACCCCAGCTTTTTTTCATGTCTTTCTGCTTGGAATATTTTTTTCATCCCTTCACTTTTGGTCTGTGCAGATCTTTTGTTCTGAGATGGGTCTCTTGAAGACAGACCCATATATGCAGGTCATTTTTATTATTCATTCAAGTATGCTATACTTTTGAATGGGGCATTTAACCCATGTACACCTAAGGTTATTGATAGGTACTTATTCATTTCCATTTTTTCCCTTGGTACCCATATTCCTCTCGCTTTCTTTTTCTTCTTCTTAAACCAGTCCCTTTCGCAACTCTTGCAGTGCTGCTTTGGCTGAGATGTATCCTTTTAGCCTTTTTTTTTTTTTTTTTGGTCTGGGAAACTCCTTATTTCACCTTTTAAATGAGGGCCTTGCTGGGTAGAGTAGTTTTGGTTGCAGGTCTTTGCTTTTCGATACTTGAATACTTCTTGCCATTCCCTTTGGGCTTGTAGTGTTTCTGATGAGAAATCAGCTGATAGCCTTATCAGAGCTCCCTTGTTAGTACTAGCCCTTTGTCCCTTGCTGCCTTTGAGATTCTCTCTTTGTCTTTAAATTTTGCCATTTTAATTATAATGTGTCTTGGAGTGGGCCTCTTTAGGTTCATCTTAATTGGGACCTCTGTGCTTCCTGGACTTGGGTAATTTTTTTCTCTCATCAAGTTAGGAAATTTTACTGTCATTACTTTTTCAAACAGATTTTCTACCCCTTGCTCCTCTTCTCCTTGTGGTATCTTTATGATAAGGATATTATTACCTTTCATGTTGTCCTGCAGCAACCTTAAACCCTCTTCATTCTTTCTGAGTCTTTTTTCACTTTGTTGCTCTGTCTGGTAGTTTTTTACTACCTTGTCCCCTAGCTTGCCAATTTGATCCTCTGCTCCATATGGCCTGCTTTTAATTCCTTCTGATGTATCCTTCATTTCAGATACTGTATTCTTCATTTCCTCCTGGCTCTTACAGTTTCTGTGTCCTTTTTCATGCTGGTATAGTTTGCAGTAAGTTCCTTGTAGCTTCCATAGAGTTCCTTGTAGTTCTCACTGAGCTCTTTGAGCATCCTTATAACCATTTTTTTGAACTCAATGTCTGATAGTTTTCTTGCCTCAATTTCATTTAGCACTCTTTCTGGGGATTCCTCTTTTCCTTTCGATTGGGGGTGGTGTCTTCAGCTCCCCACTTTAGGTGACTCTTCTTATTTGTGTCTGTGTATTGAATTGATCTGCTTTGACTGCCTGCCTTCATGGTGTGACCTTCTGTGGTAGGAGACCTATGGGACTCAGTGGTGCAGTCTCCTTGATCTCCTTAGCTGGATACTCTTGGAATGTTCTTTATGCTGTTTTTGTGGGCTCCCTGGTTGTAACTAGGTTTTGGTTGTTGTTGGGTTATTCTTTGGTGGGTCCCTCCCTTTGGTTGGTTTCCTGAGAGTCACACTGTCCACCACGTCTTGAATGTTGTTGAACAGATGCTGCTAGAACAAAACCAAACAACCCAGGAAATAAACCCACACCTGCAAAAATAACCTCCACCCACAACCACACCTGTTAACAGCAAATGAGAAAATACTAATAAAGGTTTAAAGAGATTAAGACTATTAGAAGAAAGGAAAAATGAATATGAGATAACTAACGGAAAGAAAAATGACTTTGAGAGGGTAGATGGAGGAGATATAATAAGAGCAGGGAATAGAAACAAGGCAAAGAAGGAAAGAAAATAAAAAGTAAAAAAAGAATAGAGCATGAGGTTTAAGCAAAAATTTTAAAAAATATGTAGTGCAAAAAAGGAACCAAATTGGAGCCACCACAGCAATATCAGTGACAAATGAGCAAAGATTAATATAGGTGGAATGGAAATTAGGAGCAAAAAAAGAAGAAAGAAAAGCTTAGAGGTCTAGAGGAAAGAAAAATGATTTTGAGAAGATAAAGTGTGAAAAAATATTAAGAATGAGGAATGAAAACCAGGCTAAGACAGAAAAAGTTAAAATTTAAAACAAAAAAGGAAGAAAGGGCCGGAGGAAGCCAAAATGGAGTAGGAGAGGGGAATGGTAAAATTTGAGATCGAAATATGAAAATAGTAAAGACCTATAAATAAAATTAAAGAAATGCAACAACCACCACCATGTCCACAATCAGGGAGCAAAGATTGATAAAGGTGAAGAGAGAATAAGAGTATTCAAAGACCAGGATAGAGAATGTGAGATGACTAATGACAAGAAAAATTAAGGCTGGAGGCAGGGAGAAATGATGAGTATGGAATAGATGCAAGTTGTAGCAAGAGAAAAAATAAAATTTAAATAAAAAATAAGAAGAAGAATGCCCTGACTAGTGTGGCTCAGTGTATTGAGTGCCAGCCTGCAAACCAAAGGGTCTCTGGTTCGATTCCCAGGCAGGGCACATGCCTGGGTTAGGGGCTGGATCCCCAGTGTGGGGGTGCATTAGAGACAACCACACATTGATGTTTTGCTCCCTTTCTTTCTCCTTCCCTTCCCTTCTCTAAAAATAAATAAATAAAATCTTTTAAAAAATAAGGTAAAATAGAGTAAGAGAAAGAAGGAGCAATATATGAGATTTTAATTAAAGTAAAATATAAAATCTAGTGAAATAATAGGCACAAGCTTGAAGGAAAAGGAATAAATGTTAAAAAGCTATGTAGGAGAGAAAATAATGCAAATAATCAAGACTGTGGTGGTATTCATCTCAGTAGAATCCAGTGTTTACCATTGTCTTCTCTTTATGGATCCCCCTCTGACAATGTCAGATGGTGTCCTAGTTTGGCCCTAGGCATCCTGTTCAACTATGAGTGATCCACAGTCTGTGACTTTGTCCTTCAGATTTGGCTAGTTCCCACTGTTCTGCCTTGCCAGCATTCCTTCAGCCCAGGGGCCAGGAGTGGTTCATTTAATGACCCGAGAGAACTGCCAGTACCTTCTCTACCTGCCTCCAGAGGGGGTCTCTGGTGTGATCAGGAGGGTGGGAACCCTGAGTCATTCCCAGGGCACACTGTTCAGTCTTCAGGGAAGATGGTGGGAGTGTTGTTCCACCCTCTTGCCGCATATATTGGTCTGTCCCAATAATCTATGACTAATGGTGAATTAGCTGTCCATTTCCTGTGGGGTACCAATCTGTATAAAAGGGGCCACTCTTTCCTGCTTGGGGCTGATGGAAACTCTGTCTAGGCCCTGAGTTTGGGTGGGGCCCTGAACACCCCTTGTTGCACCTGTCTCTAATCTCTCTGCTCTGTGGTTTCAGTGGATCAGGGCCTGAAGAACAGTATAGCATGTAGTGTCTGGTAAAAAGGACCCTTTCAGAGCCTATTTCTTCTTTCCCCTGCAGAAATGCACCCAGCATGGGGCTCCTGAGCTTGATCTCTCTGATCTGTAGAGCCTGTAATCCCACAAGAGGCTGTTGGGTTTGCCTGTGTGTGAGGGGATCTGCCTGGCTGCAGGGTATCTCAGGTGTCCAGTCCCCAGCCTGTCACTCTCTCCCAGAAGACTCGGGCCCAGACTTTCCCTTCTCTACAGTCCCTTGCACACCTGTTGTGCTGGGTTGGATTCCATAGTCCCTTCAGGGTGATTCTGTCCCTCTGAGTTCTTTGTTGTCAGAGCTGCTGCACACGCATGCACATGCACTTGATCACCGGGTCCCTGCCCAGTTTCAAGTCTTGTCTCAGCTTTTCTTTGAAAAGAGTTTCTGTGTGGCCTCCCTTGCTGCAGCTCTGAGCCCTGTGGAACCTGTTCTCCAGCCTCCCCCAAAATCACAGAGCCCTGGAGAACCTGTGCTCCCCCTCCCCCCAAATCACAAAGTTGCTCTCAGTCAGGGCTGGTCACAGCTTGCCATAGCCTTCAACAGTTTTAGATAAAGTTTCTCTCTAGATCTCTCCTGGATGGCGCTGGGAAGAGTCCTGCAGCAATACTGTAACACAGGACAGTGGCAGGGTGCTCTGCTCGCTCCCTTCAGTAATGCTCAGTCTCAGGCAGGCCAGCTCCCACTATGCTATTTTTGCAGCCACCACTTCCCCGGCTGTCTCTCTGTGCCCCCGAGCTCACAACTGCTGAACTGATCCGCAGTTGCCCTGAATCTGCACAGCTAGAAGTGCCGGGGTGCGCAGTGGTGGTGGCAGTTGCTCCACTAGAAGATGCAGGGCCTCCTGCACACAAGTACCCTGCAGGTGGGCAGGCTCTTGCCCACACATGCACACTTCCCAGACTCTCGTCCATGTATGCACTCACACACGCTCTCACTCGCACTCTACTGGCTTTTCAAGTTGATTGCTATGTGATTTAGCTAGCAAGTGGATGGTACTTCCAGCTACTCTGCAGCCATCTTAGATCCCCTTGTCTTTTATTTCTGGTTTCATTTATTAGGGTTCTCTTTCTCCTTTTCTTGATGAGTCTGGTTAAATGTTCACCCTTTAAAAAAAACATTTGTTTTGGAGATGAAATTTTATGCTCCATAGTGGGTGGTTTATTTGTTTTAATATATCCATTTTTCCTGCAATTTTTTACAGAGTGAAATTCCGTACAATAAAAAGCCTTTCTTCATTTCTGTCACTTATTAGCACATCTGGATGAAATGTAATTGAGTAATATAACTTTAAATCTGGTGTCTACAATTTTAAGAAATCAATTTAATTGACAAGGCAGTGTAGAATACCTTGCATATAGATTGGATGAGCTCATTTGACAGATATTTTGAACACTCTTAAATATTTATTTTGTGATTTTGTATGATTTATCCTTATATCTGATATGATGATGTAAAAACTGTGTTAAAATTTTATTCATTGCTAAAGCCAGACCAATGTATTTTACATCTATTGTTTAGAATAATAAAATAAGCAGAAAGAGACTATATATGTTAAATAATTTGGAATCATAATAATAGTTGAAATTTAAATGTAATGTCACAGCAGTTTCTATTTGCAGTAGGTTTTAAACTTTATTACATACCTGTGTTCTAACAATATAAATATGTAAATTGCCAATGGAGCGCTTTTGTGATTAGCCCCAAACTTGTTTTGTTTATTTTTAATTAAATACACTGAGGTAACATTTTTAAAAAATTAAGTATCAGTCTTCTTTTTAGGTTTGATCCAGACCGATTTGATGATGAATCAATAATGAAAACTTTCTCATTGCTTGGATTCTCAGGCACACAGGAATGCCCAGAGTTGAGGTGAGATAATAAAGTGAAAGGAAAGATGTCAGACTTCATACTAATACAATTGATGAGAATTAGGAATTTATGTAATTAAGGTGTAATTGTTAATCTTGAATAACTAGTCAACTTTCTTCTTGACTAGGTTTGCATATATGGTGACCACAGTACTGCTGAGTGTATTGGTGAGGAGACTGCACCTACTTTCTGTGGAGGGACAAGTTATTGAAACTAAGTATGAACTGGTAACATCCTCCAAGGAAGAAGCTTGGATCACTGTCTCAAAAAGATATTAAAATGTTACCTGTTTAACTTTGTTGAGGAAAATGGCCATTTAGAAAATCTTTATTGAATCCTTTTACAAACCAAGTAACACTGTGTAATGTAAACACATATAGTACTTTATTAAGTAAATTTCGACTTTTTTATATTAGATTTTCGTAATGCATAATACACATTTGCCTTATCTCTTTCTATGCCATTCTTTGTATATACTTTTCTTAGCTTATCTCTAAAATTAATATTCTGGAAAAGAGAAATTATTTTGCAGAATTTGGAGAATATGTTTTTCTGAATATTCATAAAAGAGACAAAAGCCTATTCACTTTCATACTTCCAATAAATCACCTTAAAGGGAGTAAAAAGGACATTTCATAATTTTATTTCTTGGATTAATATTTTTATTGTCTGAGTATAAATTAATTTATGTTTAATCATTGTTATTAGGTTTCATAATTCATTGGGTAGCCTATCTTGTATTCGCTATTTTTATGCCTCCCCAGACAATGGTGTTCATTTCATGATTTACACAAGTCTCATCATTTTGAAATGTTCCGATCATTTAGAAAATAATATAGTTGTTTTTTAATGCCAAAGTGACAAAATAAAATTGAGGCTTGTTGGTCCTTCTGTTTTGCTGTAAATCTTATTAGCACTAAATTATTCCACTAATTCTCATTGTGGAAAAAACAATTCCTAAATTTATTTATTATGTCATATAGTCAACATAATGAATTTATGACTAAGAAAAGAGAGAGCATTAACCAAAAACAAACCCCCAAAGATGGGTGAAAATAATTGCAAAATATTTGACAGAAATGTTTAATAACCATATTATATATAAAGAGCTCATACAAATTGGTAAGAAAACATACAATTGATAAATGAATCAAAGACATGAATAGTAGCTTTTACAGGAGAAACTAGTAAACTTTTAGAAAAATGATCAGTCTCACTAGTAAGCAAAATATTGGAGCTATTTCAAAGTATTTTAAATATCTTTTAACATTCATACTTTAGTACTGATAAGTTTTATATTTAATAGTTTTTTATTCGTAGCACTATATTTTAGTCCACTTTTTTTGGTTATGCTCTTCTTCAAGACCTCTTTTCTAAAATACATTTTTTAAAGACTACAATTGAAGGAAATATGCCAAGTGCAGATAGAGAGGAAAGGGAGAAAAATGAAAAATGTTGCAAGTGAGCTTATTTTTAAAACTGCTAAATTTAATTTGTAAATTTAGTTTAAAGAATGTACCCTGGTTCTTAATTATTATTTTATGCTGTGTTTGTGGTTAAAGAGCTAACATTTTAGAAATAGTTATGAGTGGTTAGAATTTAATTAGATGCAGGCTTTATTTCTCACAAAAATATTTAATTTATGGAAGAATTTACATTCTAAAACTGTTAAATGTATTCAAAAGTTCCTAATGTCGTCGTTTCTAAAACATATGTTTCTAAATAAATTGTTAAATTTACTCCCACCCAGGTATCATTTTCTCCCGTTCAAGTACTAAGCAGGCCCAACCCTGCCTAGCTTCTGAGATCAGACAAGATTGGGAGCATTCAGGGTGGTATGGCCATAGACCATTTTCTATGGTTTTGTGCACGCATCTTTCTTTGTTGTCCAGGTACCTTCATTAGTTTGGTAAACCAAGTGTTAGAAAAATCAGATGAGATAGATGGGATTTCAAAGTAGGTGAGACCTTATCAGCAGTGATAAAGGCAAAAGAAATACAACAGGGCAGCAGAGCCAGAGTTGACATATTGCCAGCAAATGTGCCCATGTATAATTACTAATAATAATTGGAATCAAGGAAAATAGAGGCTAGAAGAATCATCTAAATAAGTACATTTTATTCATAGTTACATGACTAACTCAAAACATTAAAAGATCATCTTCAAAAGGATTTAAAAAATAAAATACTGTTAATCATGTATAAAATAAGTTGTTCATTCACTGTTGTTCTTACTTGGCCCTTTGCATTTATCAAATGACTGAAATTTTAGTAGCCTCAATGTCACTGATGGTTCATAGCATAACTCTACCAGAACTCTCACTTGAGTTTTGTAGCTTTTTGGGTTTTTTAAAACTATTTGTTCACTGATTGTGATGTGCATTCTTTTTGATAGTTCAGCAGTTTATTGTTAAAAACATCAGTACAACACATTTTTATGGAATGATAGGGCTTTTCCAAACGTGCTCATAAAATGCAAGGCAGAATTAATCCTATACATGTGTTTGGGAAAAATGAAAACCTCATATGGTGTTTATTTGGCCCACAAATGTACAATTTCATTTTTTTATATAAATAGATTATATTTTATTCATAGGCCTTCTGTCAAAATTTGTTTTCTTTATCTTAAAATAGTTTATATTTTAAAAATAAAATGTTTTGTTTTTTATTATGAAAATTATATAGGTTCATTGTAGAAAAACCTAGGACATATAAAAATATAAAAATAGCAAATATAGTCAATGATAGTCCCACTACTTGAAGTTAGTGAGTGTTAAGCTTGTGAGACAGATCCTTCTACTCTCTTTTGTATCCACATATTTCTATAGACATACTATATATACTGTTCTCTTCATTTAGTATATTATGAACAATAGCATTTTCTACAACTGGAACATTAGTATTCTTCTCATGCAGAAGTAAGCACAGATTTTTGGCATTCTTTTCTCTTTTTCCCTTCACAGCTATTCTTTTTATTCTTTTCAACTTTAAAAATATCCTTCCTTCTCCATCCGTTCCAACAAAACAGTCGTATATTTGTACATCTAAGTTGCTAAAATCATAGAACAATGGAAAATGAACAGTTAAAAAAGAGAAATTACTATCCTTAGGAAAATCTTCAGCATAATTAAGTTCAAATTGAGATGGCATTTCAGTTTTTAAGAGGAAATCTTAAAAATCTTTGTTATCGTTTCTGGACTCTGGGGCAAACAGATTAAGATTCTTCACTGAAGACATCTTTATTTTTTTCTCCACATCTATTAAAAGCACTGTTAACCTATAAAATTTTTCCCCATGTGATTATGTTGACAGATTGAAAACCACTAAATCTGTACTGAGGACATGACCAGTAGCATCAAAGAGCAGGTTAGCAGCTGTGAGAAGATAGCTGTGAGAAATGGATACTGTTTTCAAGGACAGGTTTTATATAATGTCAACAAATTGATACCAGTGACCTTATTTTTCTTCTTAGCCAGTCTTCTGCCTTGTTTCCTAAGTTACTAAAACCAATGATTAAGGTAGAAGGGGAGGAGTTAGGGGGGAGGATATGACAACAAAGCAGTTACTGTTACTACAAAAGTCAGAGGAAATCAGCACAGCCAAAACGGCTTAATAATACAATGATGTTTTGAACTGTTGTGAGTGACCTGCAGTGATAAAAAGGAGTGAGACTGAAACTTGCAGAAATAGTTAAGCTGAAAGTAGAACAAGGGACTGGAACGGGCATGTGTTACAAACCGAATATGTACTTTTTATACCTATCTCATTTAGTCCTTAGAGCATAACAGTAGGTTCAATGATAAACTAAAACAGTTTTTCATTCCTGCTTGAACAAATACAATAATTGAAGATAGCTAAATACTAAGAAACAGTAAGTAAAAGATCTAAACTTCAAGTTATCTTAATATCTTCAGTGGGGTTTATTGATATGTTTGTTCTTATTTAAAAGAGAACAGTAGTTTCAAGTGATATACTGTTCATAATAGCTAAAGAAAATGATTAATAGCATTGTAATAGCAGTGTTAAAAGAAATCATTAAAAAGTAAACTAATGCTGCCAACTCAACCAACTATACAACTGTTTATATTTTTTCCTGTTTACACATACATATTTTTACCTATTGCAATTACAACAGTATGGTTTACTTTTTACTTAATGAATTTTAAACATTTTCTTTTGTTATTTTTTTGTGAAGGCTTCAGGGAACATATTTTTTTTGGGGGGGTGAATAGACTTTTAAAATAGAAATCAATTTAATGTTTGACTTCTAGAATTTTATGACACTGAATGAACGGGTAATTGTAAAATTTGAGTTGGGACCATTTTGTAAAACATCCAGGCAATAAACAAAAGGCAGGCAATGATATTCCTTGTAGCTGCACTCTCCAATTAATAGGTTTACTGTTTGGTGGCGGTCTTTCTAGAGATTGGGAATGCATTTTGTTAGAGCACATAATAAAATGCCATGAGCAAATAAGGCAAAAATATATCCTGTTGAGTAATTTAGAAGACACACATTTATTTACATTTAAAATACTTGCAAATTCTTGTTTTAATTTTTAGCACATAACTGAATGAAACTGTTCTACCTCACCATTTTAACTATATCATAGATAAAATTGTAAAGTGCCTGTCTCCAAAAAGACAATATTTTTTAATAAATAATGTAAATGAATGAGATTTTCATTGAGGTTTTCTGTGCATGTAAAGGAAATTATTAAAGTTACTAAATAGCTGAAAGATTTCTAGGTAGCCAAACTACCTCTAATGCTAATAGTATTTTGTGATGTGCTAAGTACCTCATTACTGGAAGTATTTAAGATGTGTGGACACCTTTCAGTGATGCCTGTATTACATGTGAACATAGATTTGTAATAGCCAGTACTTACATAAAATTTCAACCAAATTAGTTGGTAATTAGTACTCCTTTGTTCCTTCTATACCCTCAGATCATTATTAAACCAGGAAAAATTTAAGGATCTAAGTTTTTTATTAGGTTAGCGGGAGCATTATTTCCTAAACTGTATCTCATAGAACACTACCCTGTGGGGTACTCTGAGAAAAAGATTCCTGGATCATATTCATTCATACTTAGATTCTCCACACTAAGTTCTTTCTCATATCTGTGTAATACGTATTAATACAGTGGAAGTACTGAGAAGTTCTAATCTAAAGAACCTATTTTAATTTGGTTTAACACAATATTCTAAGTGTAGTTAATGACAGTATTCCCTTTCCTGGGCATACCAATTACCCTATAAAACCAGTGTCTCGTAGAAGTAGTGCTTATAGAGCCATGATTTTCAACCAGTGTACTGCAAGAATTTTTAAACCATGCAACAACTAACAGTTCATTTAGGGGCACTGACCTGATTTCCCTTAGATTGTCAAATAAAAAAATGACAACATCCAACACAACAACAGTAGTCCAGTGTGAGTGAATCAAAATTATACCAATTTTTTTTTGTCAGATTGGCAAAAAAATGTTTTATTGTGCCTTAGAATTTTAGTAATTAGTTTATATGTGCCGTGATATAATAAGATTAAAAATCGCTGGACTAAAACTCAAGAAGTACCATCCACATCTTTGGTGCTTCACCAGAAGGGAGAACCGAAAATTCTCATGTCCCAAAGCTTAATAGCTCTGAGTCTGGGTTTTAGAAGCAGCTCAAGGACCCTTTAGGTTAGTGGCTAAAAAGGAACTACACGTTGTGTAGTTAAGTTCATGATAAAGTACCCAAAGGCTTCTGTGATAGGCTGTAGTGGGGGGAAAATCAGAAGAACCATCATTTTTGTTATTTTTAGTGTATAAGCAAGGGAATTAAAATAGGTATCTTATTGATGATAACTGTCAACATTGATGCCAAATAGGAATATTGGAGAACTTTCGGAGATGAAATAAAGCTAAGAATTGGTTTATTATGTTAAAGAGCAATATTTATTACAGTCATTTGTATGAATTATTGCTTAATTATACGGCAGCACTAGGTGGGTTCAACTCTCATGTTTTGTTGCTTGGGTTGGCAAGGTCATCAGCTAACAGATAACTGATTTTTAAAGCTTAAAAAGGACCATGTAAAGATTATATAGTATAGCCTGCTTGCAATCTAAAAATTTAGAGGAAGAAGCCTAGGACTTCTGGGAGCAGTAATGTTATTAGGCTTTCGCTTTAGATTTTTTTTCATAGCCTTCTGAAAATAATGTGCTTAAGTCTATGTTGCTATTATATTCATGGAATTTTGTTAAGCTTTCAAGAAGATGTAGATTCAGAAGGAATCAGGAAATTTAAAAATATATGTATTCTTGATACAGAACCTTTGAGGGAGATGCAAATGTGTTATGAATGTTAAATTTACTTAGATTTAAAAATACATATCTTCAAGTAAAGTTGCCATGACAACCTTTTTTAATGTGTGTATAAATTTTATGTCTGTCACTTTGAGGTTTTCATCTTTCTCAATACAGGGTTTAATCACAAGAACTGGGCACTGTGGTATACTCATATTTCTATCTGTTGCCCTGTTGGAATTATATTAATTTTGGAGAATGCAAATCAAGCAGTAGGGCATAGTGATTCCACCAAGATAAATGTCACTTTGTTTTTCCCATGATCAGAGACTGATCTGATTGCAAACCTAAGATGAAATTTTAGATGGAAGTAGAACTATGAGTTTGTTCTGAGTTTCTGTTTTTTTCTTACTCAGAGGACTAAGGAGGGCCATAGGAAATTTGGGAAATTCTGGATCAGCTCTGGATCAGCCCCAAAATCGATCCAGCCTCCCTAGAATCATCTAAACCTAATCTACAGATGATCTAAATCTAATCTATAGACCCTCTAATCTAATTTAAAAACTAATGTAATGTTCTCTACAATGGCCAGGCATGTGCAGAGACCTGAGCTCCAATCCAGCAATACTAGAGAGAGACCATTACCAGACCTCTAATTTCATCCCACTTCAGATACCCTTGTCTACCAAACTCTGTTTTGCATATCAGGGCCCAAGATTTTGGAGACCCAAAGAGTACAAGGGAGGAACTCTTGTCCTCAATTCTGGAAATAGGAATTAATTTAGCAATGGAATAAGGGGTACCTTTATTGTACCTTTTAGTAACAGTACCTATGACTTTTACTGAAGACCATG